AGTTTGGGGACCCCTGTTCTAAGTGTATTAGTTAGTTTCTTGTTTCTTATTTTTAAGATTTTTCAAGCAAGATGGCATGGAAACCCTTCCGGCTTTTACCGAAAGAAAAAACCGGAAACCATAAAAGTGAATTAATTCAGACTGATCAAACCGTGTCCTGCAATGAAACGTTTTTCTTCTTGGCTATCCTGTAGAGGCAAGTCCTCGATTTACGACTTCAACGGAGCCCAAAATGTCTGCTGCTCAGCAGGACTTTTGTGAAGGGAGTTCCCCCACATTTTACCACCTTTCCTGTCACGGTCGCTAAGTGAATCCCCGAATCCCTTCGGTTTGTTCGATGAGAGACACGGTCGTCCAAGAGAAGGTGGCTTCCTCCCCTTTAAACTTTGCTTGGCCACCTTTGTGAAGGGAATCACTTCCCGTTCTTAAGTCAGTAAGCCGGTCGTTAAGTGAATTGACTTCGCTGGTCAGAAGGTCACAAAAAGGGGACGCCAGCAGCAGGGGCGGGCGGCGGCTGAGGTCTCTTGACAGCGAGGACTCGGACGAGGGGCCTGCGTGGGATGCAGGGAAGAGGCCAGGACTATGGGAGAGTGCGGTGCGGCCTTCAGAGGTTGGCAGCAGTGACAAAGAGGATCCTGGGGTGCCTGTGTTCGAAGTGCGCGAAGAAAAAAAGCCGCTGAAGCGGCACGGTGTTCTGACCCAACCGGGTTCCCAAAGAGCAAACGCAGACAAAGGCGGCAGCCCCCAGCTTTTAAGGTTTAATAACGAATTCTGTTCCTTTAGAGATAAAAGGCTGCTTTCCACTAATTAACTCCGACAAGAAAGAGCCTTGCCAAATGGTTGGTCAAGGCTGCCAAAATTCACTAATTTACAAGATTCTCCAAACATGAACTAAGATGTCCACCAGTTGAGCTTCAGAGCTTCTTTGCTGTCTGCAAAGAACGCTTTTTCAAACCTGGCTTTTTATCCTCTTGAGGGAGGGGCCATGACCTTGCAGCCTGATTCGCGAGTCGCCTGTGCTGCTGTAATTGTTCTTTTCTCCGAGTAATCCTTCCTGCATGTGCCCTTGGCACAGGCTCCTCGGGAACCTCCTCATCGCTGCTGCCAGCCCCCGCAATCTCTGAAGGCAGCAGTCCACTCCCGGATGGTCCTGGGCCCTCGTCTGAGTCCTCGCTCCCCTCAGCCGTCCACTCACCTGCTGCTGGCTAACCACAACACACGGGCAACTCGGGAGTTAAGGCTACAAGGTGATGGCTCCTCCCATCAGGGATAAAAGCTAGCCTTCGGGGTTGAGTTCTTTGCAGGAAGCAAAGAAGTTCTTTCTACTCAAGTGTCCTCGTTGAAGCCCTGCTTACTCCGCTTTGGTTTTTTTTTTAAACTTCTGGCTTTGGATATTTGTCTGCCATTAGTCTTTTGTTCTTGGCAGCCTTTCACAACCTGGACAGGGCTGGCTCTTATCTGGGACAATGACTCTTGGCTGTGAATGCACAGAATTCACAGCGCCACATTAAAGAGATTTGCTTTTATACATACTCTGTGTTTTGTTTGATTTGAACAACGCTTGGGTCGGAACAATCGCAAAAGGGGATCGTGTGACCACGGGGACGCTGTGACCGTCATAAATACGAGTTGATTGCCAAGTGTCTGGATTTTGATCATGTGACCGCGGGGGTGCTGCAACGGTCGCAAGGGTGAAAAACGGTCACAAATCGATTTTCAGGGCCGTTGTAACTTCGAATGGTCACTAGGTGAACTGATTAAACAACAAGCTGTTTTATTCCTTGCTGTCTGAGCATCCATAAGCGGTTCTGCCTTCTCCAAACTAGGAATGGAGCAGAGTGTTTTTACTGGCCAGATGCCCTTCCTGTCGCCAATGGGGAGTTTTATTCAGCAGGTAAATTCTCACTGTGCCGAGAGAGAGAAAGATCTGCCTCTCTGTTGTGGTTAGCCGGCAGCAGGTGCGGACAGCTGAGAGCGAGGACTCAGATGAGGGGCCAGGACCATCAGGGAGTGGACTGCTGTCTTCAGAGATTGTGGGGGCTGGCAGCAGCGATGAGGAGGTTCCCGAGGAGCCTGTGCCAAGTGTGCATGCATGCGCACAGGGCTGCTCGTAGGAGAGAGCAGTTACAGCAGCACGAGCGACTCGGGAGTAAGGCTGCAAGGTAACGGCCCTTCCCTCAAGAGGATAAAAGCCAGGTTTGAAGAAGCGTTCTTCGCAGAAGGCAAAGACGTTCTGAAACTCAGCCTCGTGGACATTATAGTTAGTCTTTGAAAACTCTTGTAAACTATTTATCTGCGGGGTTTTTGGCAGCCTTGAAAAACAACTTGGCAAGGCTCTTTCGTGTTGGAGCTAATTAGTTGGAAACAGCCTTTTTTATCTGTGAAGAAACAGAATTCCTGGGTGAAACCTTCAAAGGTGGGGGGCTGCTGCCTTTGTCTTGTGTTTGCTCTCTTGGGACCAGGTTGGGTCAGAACACTCTACCTAGGATTGAGCTCACAGCCTCCTGATTGTGAGGCAAGAGTGCCACCTCTAGGCCACCGCACCACTTCTCCAAACCAGGATCACACGGTTAATTTCAGATCAGATGATTCATGGTTATGTGGGGAGGGAAGAGGCCAGAGAGAAGGGGAAAGAGACAAGAAAGATTGTGATCTCTCCTGCCAACTATTACCTGGCCTTACTTAACAACCGTTATTACTAGCTTAACAACTACTGTGACTCACTTACCAACGGTGACCAGAAAGGTCATAAAATGGGGCAAAACTCACTTCCACAACCGTCCTGCTTAACAATGGACAGTTTGCACTCAATTGTGGCCGTTAATTTGAGGACTACCTACACAGATGGTCCTCGACTTACAACTACAGCACTGTTTTAGCGACCGTTCACAAGTTACAATGGCCCTGAAAAAAAAAAGAGATTTACGGCTGTTTTTTCACTCTTGCGACGGTCTCTGTGATCGTGTGATTGACACTCGAATCCCTGAGAAGTGTTTCCTGTTTATGACGCTTGCAGCGTCCCGGGAGTCACACGATCCCCTTTTGTGACCTCCTGACAAGCAAAGTCAACGGGGAAGCCAGATTCACTTTTAACGACTGGGCGACTCACTTAACGGCGGAACCGATTCGCTTGAAAAAAATGCGGCAAGAAAAATCGTGAAGTAGGGGAGAAAAGCTCACTCAACTGGTCTCTCACTTAACCAAGATCAATTCTGGGCTCCACCGTGGTCGTAAGCCGAGGATGACCTGTACTGCTTTCCGAACCCAGAGCATCATGGGAAGAATTTTGGAAGCCAGTGTTGTGGCCCTCCAGTGGCCAGTGGAGCTGGCAGCAGACTCGGACAGGGAGGAGGTTGGGGAGGAACATGGGCCAGTCCTGGAGTCTGGGGGAGGCTCTGACGAGGGCTCTGCATTGGGGGCAGAGTTGGGTCCAGGGCCTCCTGACAGTTATCAGCTGCCTTCGGAGTCGGAGATCAGTGGGGAAGAAGAACAGTTGGAGCCTGTTCCCAGTGTGCGCATGCACAGAGCCGCCAGAAGAAGAGAACAGCTAAGGAACAAGGGTCGAGTCAGGAGTAAAGCCACAGGTGGACGGTGAATGGGACCTCCTCTAGGGAATAACAGAGGAGTAAAAGGGGAGTGGGGTTTTGCAGGAGGCAATTAGATCATTTGGGTGAAGATCTGTTCCTGCATTCTTGCCAAGTATTGTCTGCTACAGTGTGGCGTTTGGAAGATATCAGCCTAGTAAAGGTCTGTAATTGTGGAACCTCTTGAAAGACTATTGCTGGAGAGGAATTCACTGTAAACTAAATAAAAAGTGGTTTTATCGGGACGAGGAGTCGGTTTCGTGCTGTTGGGGAATCCTAGGTCAGAACAGCCAGAAACAGGATTGGCAAGAAGGCACGTTGCAACAAACCAAGATTGACCAAGATGGTCACGGGACCGTTCTCGGGACACACACACACACCCCTTTAACTTACAGGGCTCTGGCGGGGGCGGCAGAGGTGGGGGCGGCTCTTCAGCAGCAGCTGCTGCAGCCGCGTTCGCCGCGGCGGCTTCGTTGGTCATCGATCGGGTGACCCGGCCTTTTCGTCGGCCTTGGCTGTTGGCCGTCTTACGCCCTCTTGGAGCGGTGGGCTCCCGTTCTTCGGACTCCTCTGGCTGGACTTCGATTTTCTCCTTTTCCTTGATATTTTCCCTGGGGAGACATGGGGGGAAAAAAAAAAGAAATCGGGAATGGGCAGGGCAGGGTAAGCTGGACGGATAGGGCCATGGTACGAAAGAGCGTGAGCTCACATGGCCAGCTCCTAGCTGGAGGAGGAGGAGGAAGATTGTGGGGTCCTTGGTGCTCTCTGAGCTTGATGGTTTTCTGGCAGACATTTCTTGACCCAACTAGGTAATGTCATCAATGTTACAAAGGAATGGGGTTTATGAAAAGGAGGGGGAGGGGGAGGGGGTGGAGGAGGAGGAGGACTGTGGGATTCTTGGTGTTCTCTGATTCTTGGTGCTCTTCTCCTCCTCCTCCTTCTCCTCCTCCCTCCCTCCACCACTTCTGCCACTGATGATGTTACCTAGTTGGGTCATGAAATGTCTGCCAGAAAACAAGCAAGCTCAGATAGTACCAAGGACCCTTCAGTCCTCCTTCTCCTCCTTCCTTCCTTCCTTCCTTCCTTCCTTCCTTCCTTCCTTCCTTCCTTCCTTCCTTCCTTCCTTCCTTCCTCCTTTCTCCTATTCCTCCT